CGTAAGTGCGCGTGTGTGGGAATCGGTCAGTTTAAATTTTAACTGGAAAAAAAATAAAAAATTATTATTATTATTTTACCCTCGAGGTGTGTATCAAGTTATTATTATTATTTATTTCATCGTTGATTTTGTAATCATTTTTTTTTTTTTTTCTGTTATCAGTTTGCTTTCACTTATTTTATTTGTTGTTTGTTTGTTTGTTGTTTGTTTCGACCGATTTTTTACGTAATTTTTTACGTACGAACGTTTTTTTGTGCGCGAATTTATTTTAAAAAATTAAGTTAAATTTGTCGTTTTTTTATTTTTTTTTCGGGAGTGTGCGTGAGTGCGCGTGCGTTATACTCCCTCGTGCTCATGTTCGAAAGGAACCTAACTTCTTATTGAAATACGTTAGTGCCACGATTTTTTTTAAAAATTCGTTTGAAAAAAAAAAAATAATAATAATAGTTCGAATTCATTTTTTTTCCAGACGGGTCAAATTTACCGGGTTTTAAAATTTCCCCTCTCCCCCTCTCCCCACCTTTCCACCGTCACTTCCAGTGATCGGGAATTCGGTAATCGGATTGGTTCGGTGGCTTTAGGATACGAAACGCATGCGCAAAGCCTGAGGCAGGCACCTCCAGCATTTTCATACAGTGGCTACATGTCGTGGTTGTAGGGTTGTGAGTTTATGTTTTACGAACTATAAACAACAAAACGGAGTCTGCGTTGTACATTTTAAAGGGGTTGTTGTTTGTTGTTTGCCGTTATTATTATTATTATTTTATCAAATAATATTTTTAAAAAAACCGTTACGAAATAAATATTTAATAGTTTCTTTTCTTTTAAATTTTATTTTAAAAATTTCGGACTGACGTGGTTCATTAAAAGAACAAAAAAAAATATCCGTTATTTTTTTTTTTTAAATTTTGTTCGTTGGGGTGTAATTTAAACTCAACGGTTTTTTTTTTGTACAAAAAACGCGCGACATGACGTAATCATTTATCGGTTATATTTAATTTAAATTATCGAACGATCGATTATTATCCGTGATATATATATAATAATATTGTTATGTGATGTTATGTGATATGAGTGTGTCGTTTTATTATTATTATTATTATTATTAAATAAATAAATAAATAAACAAGGATAACATCAAAATAAGAAGAGGATTATATTATGATTAACCGGCGGAAAAAAATAAAATAACCAAAAAAAAAATTATGAAGTGAAATTTAATTTTTTTAAAAAAATTTATCATTATTATTATTAACGCGACGATATCGATTTGAGGGCATCGTTTAAAGCCCCATCCCTACCCTTCCCCATTTTTTTAAAAAGTTTTTTTTTCACGCTTATGGGCCTCATTTCAAAAATGAGGCCCCGGTCATTGATTATGTGCCATGGCTACTACCTACTCGTATTTGTTATACTTCTCCTTAGGATACAGGTGAGATTATTATTATTATTATTATTATTATTATTATTAATTTTATTTATTTCATTTAAAAAAAAAAATGGTAGCGAAAAAGAAGAAGAAGCGTGCGACGAAACCCGCACACACACCCCCCCGCCGACGCCAAAATCGCCCCCGTCATACGTGTATTGATAACGCCAGGTGTTTTTTTTTTTTAAATGGGGTGGAATTTGATAGTGAGTTGGTCACCCTAAAACAATAAAATCCACTCACGAACGCCTGGAGAAAAAAAATTTGTCTGGAGAAAACAAAAAAAATAATAAAAAAGGTCAAAAATTACGTGATATTGAAATTAATTCGGGAGGGGAAAAAAAAGTAAACCGAACGGACTCCCCACCCCCTCACTCTCGCCCCCCTACCCGACATTAACAGCATGAAAAATTACTTATGTTTCTTCTTTATTAAACGTTTACCATTAATTATATATATATACGCGATGATAATAATAATAATAATAAATATTGGAATTCGAAAAGACCCATCTTCTTTTTCTATATAAATTTTGATCGGTTCAAAAAATTTATTATATAATGAGTCATAGAATAAGAAAACGCATTCTTTTTTTTTTTAATAAAAAAAAAAATTATTCGAGATTTTTATCTCGATTAATCGAAAAGTCAACCGACTCGTTTTTCTTTTTTTTTTTTTTTTTGTTTAATAATTTCGTTGAGAACTTTGATTGAGTGCGTGCGTGCGTGTGAATAATTTTCGAAAATAAATTTCTAACGCATTCGTTTTTTTTTTAAATTCGTAAAAACGCGCGTAAAAAGGCTTTTATCGCGAAGATTATCAAACATCGTTTGAAAATTCTGGAATTGTTTATGATGTAAAAAATTCCGTCGCGTTTTACGCGAACTTTGTCTGGGAAAACCCGGAAAATTTTTTTTTCGAAAGGTTAACGCGCGCGTAAAAAATTTAAAAAAAAAACGATTTTTCCACGATTTCCGTCGTGTCATTAAATTAAATTTAAAAAAAAATACCGAGAATTTCTAACGAAATAACTAATAAATTTATTAAAAAAAAAACAAATCGAAAAAAAAAAACTGGAACGAATGATGACGACGATTCACTGGAAAAGAATTTTTTTTCTTCTTCGATTCCGTTTCCGTTTTAATAATAATAATAATAATAATAATACATTTTCCGGTTTCTTATATATTTTTTATTTAATTTCTTATTATTCGTGGTAGTGGTAGAAGAAGAAAAATCAATTATTCTATTATTATATTATCAAAAAAATAATTTTTCGGTTTTTTTTTCTCCCCGTCTCAGACTGGAGAAAAATCATTTTCATCATCACGTGACAAAAATCGAAGTACGATCAATCATCAATATCAATTTTTTTTTTTTTTTAACGCGATAAAATTTTTGTCTTTTAATTGGATGAAAAGAAAAAAAAAAGGTTTTGTTTTTTTAACTGATGATGATTATTATTATTATCATTCTTAAAAAAAGGTTTCTGTCACGTGTGTCAATTCGTATCGATTTAAAAAATTTGTTTAAATAAAAAAACCTTTCAGAAATTGATTATTATTGATACTTTTAACGTGAGAATAATTTTTTCATTCTAAAACCACGTCAACTATAAAAATTTTCATTTTCATTTTTTTTTTTTACGTCGCTCTCTCTCTCTCTCTCTCTCTCTCTCTCACCGCCATCGTCGTATTTTTTCTGGGGGAAATAAAAAAAAATTATTATTATTATTAACCGACGGGGTTTTAGAAAAAAAAAAACCGGGTACTCTTTGACCCCGTTGATAAAAAAAAAAAAAATGGCCGTAATTAAAAACTTTTTTTTATTTTTCATTCATTTAAAAAAAAAAAAAAAAATTTTACGACGCTTTTTTTTTCGAGTTTTATTGTTATGGATTATGTTTCTTTAACTTCCGGTAAAAAGGGGTTCATTATATTGAGAAAAAATAAATGATAATAATGATAGTTATTATTATTATTAAAAGAAAAAAAAACTGGATTAAAAAGAAAAAAGAAAATAAAAGAAAAGAATTGAAAAATTCCAGAAATTATTAACGTCCATTTTTTTTTTATTAATTTAAAAATCAATCGTAAAATAAAAAAAATAAAAAAATTTTAATTTGTTATTTACTGGAAATTTCAACTGGAACGAAATCCATAAGATTTATTTATTTTTTCTTTCATTGAATTCGATGGAATAATAAGGTCCAAATAAATAAAAAAATTGTTTAAATTAAACGCGTCGTATGTGTCGTATTTACACGGTGCGTTTAAAATGTGCGTGCGTGCGTGCGTGCGTGTGAGTTTGTATGGGTACTCGAGGTTCAGGTCAAAACACAATTTCTTAATGATCACAAAACCTTTTCTCAAAATAGATAACATCACAATGATTGATTTACTCATTATTTTTCTTCTCTCTCTCTCTCTCTCTTTCTCTCTTTCTCTATGACTTACTGGAACACGTCGTCGTCGTCATCGTCTAACCTTCTTTTCCAGTTTAATGAAAATTTTTGTTTTTTTTTTTTATTCCCACCGCCTTGTTGAAAATAACAAAACAATAACAAAGCGAAGATATGATGAAGACGACGAAATTTTTCCATAGAGTAATAAAATTTTAATTAATTTCAACTACAAATTTTCTTCTGCTTTTTTTTAACTATAACACACACCCCCACGAAAATCAAAAAAAAAAATTGAATTTTGTTATTATTAACGCGCTCGCGCCCCCACACAGTAAAAGGAATTAGAGAGAGGGATGGAGGGTAGGGGAGGGTAAAAAATTAATTTGATTTAATGACGTAATGGACATTGGGAGAATTAAATTTCAAATGACGAAATATGGCGAAGAAAAATCGAGTCGCCGAAGTTGTTTTAAATTAAAAAAAAAAAAAAAAATTTTTTTTTTTAAGGCTCGGCAGGTGGGCCAACCGTCGAAGAACTCTTGCAGACCTGTTTTTTTTTACGTACCTTCTTTTTCTTCTTCTTTTTTTTGAAATTGAGGATATAAGTATTTTCATTAATTATTATTATCGTTGACTTTTTTCATTTGCCATTTTTTTTTTCCTCGAGACACACACACACGTAAGAAACACGTAGTATAGAAAAGAAATAATAAGAAATTTTCACAGTGTGTGTGTGTGTGTACGTGCGTGTTACACGAGTGATAACACATCAAAAAATCATCCACCCGTATAATAATCACGTTCGGTGTTTCTTCAACTGAAACAAACGTGAAAAAATAATAATAATAATAATGAAAAAAAAACCGTTAAACTCTCCGCTATCTCTTTTCTTTTTTCTTTTTCGAAAATTTTCAAAATAAATGCTATTATTATTATTATTATTATTAATTCTATGGAGAAAAAATGTTTTTTAATTATTAAAAAAAACAAACAAATTAATTATTATTATTATTATTATTATTATCGAACCGTGAAATTTGTTTTTTAATAAAAAAAAATTTAACTAATACGAATCCGTTGATATCGATTTTTTTTCCTTTGTTTATTTAAATTGTCGTTTGCTGTCGTTAAAAACATTGTAATGATGAAATTAGTTTTTTAAAAAAAATGGGGGAAAAGGGCGCGGAAGTTGAAAGGAAAAAAAAAAAAAGGAATTATAAAAACTCAATTTATTTGTGCAATGAATTTTTAAAAGAGGTTTCGACACCCCGCTGACTCCAGCCGAACTGGATTCCAGCACGAATCCTCTCATGGGATACCTCATCATGGAAAAGAAAACAAAAAACAGATAAAGTCTGCAATACGTCTTCGACGCTACGATAATAATAATAATTCCTTTTTTTTTTTTTTAAAAACTCATCCTCGATGGTTTTTTTTGTTTTTCCTTTGTTCTACCATCCCGTCCACTCATTTATTTCCGGTTATTATTAATAATAATAATAATTTTTTCGGTTTTAGATCGTTTCCGCCAGAGGTTTTTTCGAACTTGAAATAATCGAAGTAACAAATTATCGTGGAGAACTCGCATCCGGAAAATGTTGCGGAGGAATCATACACACTCGTCCTTGTCCATACGAATGTCACACGTATTTCCGGGTTTGTTTAAAAGAATATCAAATCAACGTCACTTCCTTGGGATCATGTTCATTTGGAAACACGAGCAGTCCCGTTTTAGGTGGAAATTCATTTCGTCTTGCTGATCCGGAAAGCGCAAATGGAAAACTCGTACTTCCGTTTTCTTTCAGTTGGACGGTAAGTGTCGTCATTTAAGAGTCTTGTATGAGTGTGTGCGTGCGTGCGTGTATGAGTGAGAGTTGAGGTTCATAGTGAGTGGTAGTAACTGGTTCGGGGGCTCTCCTTATTAGCCTGGGGCCCCAAGTTCCCATCGCCTGATATCCCGTAATTAACATCTTTTCAAAACGTTTTACTGATCTTTTTTTTTTTATTCTCGGAATTTTTTTTTTTTTTTTTTCATTTTATTATAAAATTTTTATATACGTTTTTATTTTTAAATTTAATGCCTGATAATGATGATGATGATGATTAAATTCAATAATTTTATTATTAACGTTAAATAAATTTAAAAACAAAAAAAAAAATTATTTATATGTGGAAATTTTTTCAAATCCAATTTTTTTTCATATTTAAAACCTCAAAGAAATTAAATTTTTTTTTATTACCCACGCGCGCGTAAATTTTCAGTGCATGCAACATAATCAAATTTTTTTCCCTGCATTTTATTCAACTTTTGTTTTCCGGTTTGTTTCTTTTTTGGTTTTTATAATCCTTTTTAAATCCTCATTCGTTTGGATTTATAACTACAAAAAACCTTATTAATTATCATTAAACCTGAATAAATAAATAAAAAATGTCTTCTGCTTTTTATTAATAATAATAATAATAAAATTTTTATTTATTGTTTTTGTGTGAGTGTGTGTGTTGGTATGTTTAAAATTATTTCGAATCGATTTAAAAAAATTTGTTTGTTTGTTTTATAAATCTTTTAAAAAATGAGATAAAGGGGGAGAGAGGAGGGGGGAAAACATAATTTGAAAGCATAAGACATTTTAAACGTTTGCAAATTTTTTTTTTTTACGGTTTGCGTGTTTTTAATTAAAAATGGCGTTAAATGAATTTTTTTTTGTTAATAAATAGGAGAAAAAAAATTCCCATGACGTGAATTAAATTTTTTTTTTTTATTAATACGTGTTGTTTGTTGTGCCAGGGTAAAAAAACAATGACAAGACAGTCTGACCAAAAAAAAAACCGGTCGTGTTTGTGTTTGTATACGATCGTGATCAATTCTTGTACGATTAGGTATAAAGCTCACCCTTACCTGTTTCGATTTTAACTAATAGCCAAGAAGGATTTGATTATAATTATATAGACGACGTACACCTGGTTAAAATATACAACCGAACAACAAACAACAAACTACTTTCAAATTTAAAAAATCGTTGCGTGCCATCATCATCATCATCATCGTATTTGCCGCATTCATTGCGTGCCTATCAATTCTAAATCCACGATCGAATAATATATATTTCGAACCGTATTTTTAGTAGGCGTTATAAAAGCAGAAGACAAAAAATTATTTTTTTTGATTTAATAAATAAAAACCGAATCCGTTCGTAATAAACATTTCGAATAAACCCGCTTTTCTCCCCCCTCTTCCCTCCCACCCTCCGGCCGCCATCTTCCTTCACATTCACTTTAACGATTTTTTTTTATTTTTTTATTTTTTTTTAAATTTAATAAATTAAACGCGTATAAAATTTAATCGCAATTAAATCATTTTCATATAAATGCTTTATAAAAAAAAACAGGTTTACCAACGTAAAAAAAAAAAAAAAATTACGTCGATATAAACTCATATACCGCCGCAGACTTTAAAAAAAAAAAACAATAATGAAAACTTTTTTTAATATTATTATTATTAATATCATCATCTTTTGAAAAAAAAAAAAAACCATGACTAATTTATGACTAATTGCATGTTAGACAACATTAAAAAAAAAAAAAAAATAGATTCAGGTAAATTATTTATATATAAAAATAAATAAATAAAAAAGAAAAAAAAACAAATTATTAAACTTATTGGGGGGTTGATCAGGTAGTTGGTTGGATATTTCGTAATCATTAAACTCACGAACCGACAAAAACAAAATTATTATTATTATTATTATTATTATTATTATAAATAAATAAAATTTATTTATTATCATTATCATTATCATTATTATTTTTTAATATACGGCACGATAACGCGAGAAAAACAAGTTAAAATCATGATCGTTGCCGTTTTCGGTAACAAACATACAAATAAAAAAAACAAATAAATAATAAAGTTGCAAATGAATAATAATAATAATAATAATAATAATAATGATGATGATGATGATGATGATGATGATGATAATGATGATGATCATAACAGGAAACAAAAAACTTACGACGACGACCGGCGTGAAATTCCAGTTTTTGAAAAAAAAAAAAATGATATACGAACGAAAAATAGTTATCGATGATGATGATGATGATAATAATAATAATAATTTTTGCTTTGTGAACGTTTTATTGTCACGTGACTTAAGAAAAAATATTTTTCGTAAGTGAAAATGAAAAAGAAAAGCGTTATGATGATAACCGAAAGTTTCGGACGATTGATAAGACGTATACGTGGCGTTATCAGTAACGAATTTTTTTTACGCGTGCGTGCGTGTATGCGTACGTACGCACATAAATAATTTATTCACGAGGTTTCAATTAAATAATATTTAAAAAAAAAAAAAATTCCAAAAGTTTGTTTCATCGTCGTTTTTTTTTTTTTCAAAAAGAAAATTTCCAGTTTTAAGTGGATGACAATGTCAAGATGATAACCGACATTTACCATTTTTTGAAAAGAGTGAGAGAGAGAGATAGAAGACCAGTTCATCTTCTATCGACCGACCAGCCTCTTACGATAATCAGTCAATGACCTTTGACGTTAGACCGACATTAAAAATTTCTTTTTTTTTTTTTGAAAACCCTCCACCCCATCCTCCTCCTCCTTTTTTTTTTATTATTCGGTTGTCATAAAATCAGAAATCTGGAAATAGAAAAAACCGAAAAAAAAAATTTTATTTTATTTTATTAATTAAAAAATTCTTAACGTTTGATATAAGTTTTTGTTTATATACTCTATGACTTTAAATTTGATAAAAATGGCGAATGGGAAAATGTTATAATGTTTAGCTTATGATTGGAAAATTCGATACGGTAAAGGAAACGAAAAGGAAGGAAATTATCGTTCCTGTAGAAAATTAATTATTATTATAATTGTTACTATTATTATTATTATTATTATTCCTTCTTCGTATTTTTTTCCAGTCGAATATTTTTTTTATATTTTTTTTTGATGATCTGATCACTCACACGGCGTTACTTCATCATCATCATCATCATCATTTCGACTACTAGAGAACTTGTTTCATTGTTTTGGGTGGTCCAAACACATTCATTGTTTTTTTTTTCTCTCTCATTTAATTTTTTTTTTTTTTGTCTTCTTTTGTTTGTGTCTTTTCTCTTCTTTTTTTTATTGACTTAATTTTCATCCTTCATTTTGTTTTTTATTTCATTTCTTTTTTCTTTTTCTTTTAAATTAATTTCGTGTAAACGAAAAACAAAAAAAAAAATTTAATGCACGTGCGTTGATCGATTCGATCGTTACATTTTCTTATATTTACTTCAATCTTTCGACAATTTTCCCTCCGTATCCGTTTTGTGTTACGTCATCAAATTGACGCGGGAAATTTGAATATTAAACCTCAATCCTTACAATATGCGGTTACGTAATGCATCCTGAAAACGTTCGCACGGTAAAACGATTTAATATGTTAAATGATGTCGTCATTATTATTATTATTATTATTATTATTATTATTATTATTATTATTATTTAACCTGGGATTTGGATAAAAGAAAACCGTCCGAAGAATTCGGCATTTAAAAAAAAACGCCACAAAATACAAACCAGTAAATGGTTTATGATCTTGCGGTTGAACAAAGTAATTTATCAACGTGTTCTCTTGTTTCCCGTTTTTTTTTTTTTTTTTTTTTTTGTATTCAAAAACCGATCAGACAAAAATTTTTTTTTTTACCTCACCGTCCATGATAATGATAATGATAATGATGATGATGATGACCTTTTACGTTTTCTCTCTCTCTCTTTCTCACAGAGTGAATTCTTGTACATCATATTGAGGCTGAGCAAAAAAAAAAATAAAAAAATCAGATGAATTTTTTTTTCTGCATTGATTTCTATGATGAAGTGATAGATAGATGAATAGACTTTCTAAAAAACCGCCGATAAACCGCGGATTTTATTATTAATAATAATAATAAAAACAACTTTTGAAAAATTCCAATATGGCACCGACCATAATCGAATCCTTTCTCTTTAATAATTTTTTTAAATAAAAAATTGGAAAGTTCACGTTCGCGTTCGCGTTCGTCACGTTTCTTTATTACAAACAGAAAGTAAGATTTATTTAATTAAAAGAAGGAACAAACAAACAAACGAACAAACGGAAAATATGCAAAAAAAAATTTTTTTATACGATATGTTTAGGTATCGAAGATGGAAACAGGTGCAAACGTTTATAAAAAAAAATCACGCGAGTTCCGGCTTGGGGGCTTTTTCGGTAGCACCACCCGTTTTATTATTATTATTATTATTATTACAAACCGAAAAGGGAAAAATGGTAGTAGATATAGTGTTAGCAGAAGATATTATGTTGATTAAACGTTTTCTCCCTCGGGATAAATGAAAAAAAAACGTTTCATTCATAACCTAATCTTACGATTACGTGGTTGCGGTCTTCGGTTGTTGTAAACCCCAAAGGGAAAAAAATTTTTTTTTTTTTTTAAACAATTCGTGATGATGATGATAATGATGATGATAATGATGATATTTTCATTCATTATCATACTTACCTTATTATGTAATTTTTTTTTAACGTTCGCAACGAATTTTTTTTTTTCAAAAAAATTTCTTCCTCGTAAAGTTCAACCGTTTGGTAAAAACTTTTCCTCCTCTTCTCCTCCTCCTCCTCCTCCTCTTCTTCTTCCTCTTCTTCTTCTTATTCTTAATAACAGGTTTAAAACAACAACAACCACAATAACAACAACAAACCCTTTTTTTTTCTTATAACAATACCTATAACTAAAATTCTTAATTAATATTGATTACCTTCAATTTAATTTTATCAAAGGGGTTGTTCTTTTTCTTT